CTTGTGCATTTGTCACGTAGTTCTCATGTTATGGTTTTCATATCTATCAGTTCTTTTAAGGTCTTCTCTGCATTGATTATTCTAGTCATCCATTCATCCATTCTTTTTTCAAGGTTTTTAGTTTCTTTGCGTTGGGTACATAGTTCCTCCTTTAGCTCTGAGAAGTTTGATCGACTGAAGACTTCTTCTCTCAACTCGTCAAAGTCATTCTCTGTCTAGCTTTGTTCCATTGCTGGCAATGAGTTGTGTCCCTTTGGAGGGGGAGATGCGCTCTGATTTTTTGAATTTCCAGCTTTTCTGCACTACTTTTTCCCCATCTTTGTGGTTTTATCTGCCTTTGGTCTTTGATGATGGTGACATACTGATGGGGTTTTGGTGTGGGTGTCCTTTCTGTTTGTTAGTTTTCCTTCTAACAGTCAGGACCCTCAGCTGCAGGTCTGTTGGAGTTTCCTTGAGGTCCCCTCCAGACCCTGTTTGCCTGGGTGTCAGCAGCAGAGGCTGCAGAAGATAGAATATTGCTGAACAGCGAGTGTACCTGTCTGATTTTTGCTTTGGAGGCTTCCTCTCAGGGGTGTACTCCACCCTGTGAGGTGTGGGGTGTCAGACTGCCCCTAGTGGGGGATGTCTCCCAGTTAGGCTACTCAAGGGTCAGGGACCCACTTGAGCAGACAGTCTGTCCGTTCTCAGATCTCAACCTCCATGCTGGGAGAACCACTCCTCTCTTCAAAGCTGTCAGACAGGGACATTTACATCTGCAGAGGTTTCTGCTGCTTTTCGTTAAGCTATGCCCTGTCCCCAGAGGTGGAGTCTACAGAGGAAGGCAGGTCTCCTTGAGCTGCGGTGGGCTACACCCCATTCGAGCTTTCCAGCGGCTTCTTTACCTACTTAAGCCTCAGCAATGGCGGGTGCCCCTCTGGCAGCCTCGCTGCCACCTTGCAGTTAGATCTCAGACTGCTGTGCTAGCAATGAGGGAGGCTCCGTGGGCATGGGACCCTCCAGTCTAGGTGTGGGATATAATCTTCTGGTGTGCCGTTTGCTAAGACCCTTGTTAAAGCGCAGTATTAGGGTGGGAGTTACCCGATTTTCCAGGTGTTGTGTGTCTCAGTTTCCCTTGGCTAGGAAAAGGGATTCCCTTCCCCCTTGTGCTTCCCAGGTGAGGCAGTGCCTCACCCTGCTTCAGCTCTTGCTGGTTGGGCTGCACCCGCTGACCAGCACCAACTGTCCAATATGCCCCAGTGAGATGAACCCAGTACCTCAGTTGAAAATGCAGAAATCACCCATCTTCTGTGTCGCTCACGCTGGGAGCTGGAGGCTGGAGCTGTTCCTATTCGGCCATCTTGGGCGCCCCCCTCAAGACTGTTTTAAATCACATGTCTGAGCTTGAGCTCCATAGTCAGATGAGGAGAATGCTTGATGGTTTTGCTCTTTAATTTTTATCTCTGGTTTGAGAATGGATGTGGGTCTGTGTTTAAACTGATGTCTATAGATTCCTTAGTGAGAGTCGAGCTAACACAGAGAGATCAGTGGCTGTTATTAAGTTTGATGGACTCTTGGCTTAGGCTGTGATTGGAAACAGATAAACTCTGTCCTGCACATACCCAATCTAGAAATTGCCATATTTTTGCTGAGCATGATTTTTCTGTTACACTATAGAATGAGTTTCACTAAAGTAAACTAAGTATCTTTAGTGTTTATACCACAAGGTTTGGGATGCCAACTGAATTGAAAGGTCTTTATATTTATTAAATATGTGTTTACTTGCCATGTGGGCATCGTAAGTTGGCTTTCATGCAAAGCAAGTTGTACGGTGTTCTTTTAGGGTTTCCAGATTCAGAGACCTCCTTGTTTTTCTCCTTCTACCTTTGGCTGGAGCTAGTGAGGCCTCAGAAAGAATAACTAAAATAATAGAGGGAACAGAGGAGTTTGCTCTGATGACATCTCAGAAAAGCAAATTCTGGTGGAAGCCTTTAACATAATCAAGTCACCAGTTCTAAAAACATGTTTTGAGCAACTACTATGTAGTGCTTGTGCAACTACTACAAGCACAGTTGGAGGTACTGTATCCCCAATACAGTAGTACATAGAACAGATAAAAACCCTTCTTCATGGAGTTTATATTGTAATGGGGGACATGGACAATAAGCAAGCTAAATAAGGAAAACGTATAGTATGTCAGACAGCGAGAAAAGTGACAGGGAGAAAAACAATGCAGGGAAGGGGAAACGAAGTGGCTCAAACATTTTAAATAGATTGGCCAGGGAAGACATCACTGAAAAGGTGCCTTTTTTTTTTTAGACAGAGTCTCTCACTTTGTCGGTCAGGCTGGAGTGCAGTGGGGTGATCTCAGCTCACTGAAAGCTCCGCCTCCCAGGTTGAAGTGATTCTCCTGCCTCAGCCTCCCAAGTAGCTGGGATTACAGGCGCCTGCCACCACACCGGCTAAGTTTTGTATTTTTTGTAGAGACGGAGTTTCACCACGTTGGCCAAGCTGATCTCAAACTCCTGACCTCAGGTGATCTGCGTACCTCAGCCTCCCGAAAGTGCTGAGATTACAGGCATGAGCCCACCACATCCAGCCATGAAAAGGTGGCTTTTGAATCAAAACCTGAAGGAAGTAGGGGAGCTAGCCACATGGACATGGGGGAAGAGCATGCCCAGCAGAGGGAACAGCAGGCACAATGGCCCTAAGGGGAGAGCATGCCTGAAGTGCTTGAAGAACAGCAGACCAGCAGTGTGTCTGCAGCAGGAAATGGCTGGTAATGTGGTCAGGGATAAAAGGAAGACAGATCATGTGAGGTTAGTGGGAGCATAGATGTTATCCTCCAGCCCCAAAAGACCAGAACTATGACACCACTCTGAAGTATGAAAGATGTTCAGAACAATAAAAGAAGAGCTTTTACTCTATACACTGATACCAAATTTATATTTCCGGTACATAACATAATCTAACTAGACGATATCAGGAAGAGGCAGTATATAAATTCATAGATGAAAGTTGCACAAAGAAGTAAAGGAAATCTTGGGATCAATCCTACTTTTGTGTGATTGATCCCACAAAAGGCAACTGTACTATTTCTCTGTCTTCTCCCTGAATCCAAAGCAGAATGGTCTGCAGGATTTATCATCAGCCTGACCAATTAGCACTGTGTTAAGTCCCCATGTACTGGAATGACAGTGTCATCTTCATAACCAAGGTAGTAGCTAAGATTATCATTGCATCAACATACAATGGTGGTGGGAACCATGAAGGCATGTGAAAGCTGCAAGTACCAAGGGGATCCCGGGCACTGTGCAAAACTAGCCTGAAGAGAATTTGGTGGGTAACACAAGTGGAAATTCTGTCTACTTGCTAAATTATAATATATCGTTTGCTACTAGTATCTAGCAGAGACAGTTTACCAGCTGATCTTCAAAGGGCCTTCTGCTAACAGAAATTGAAATCTTCTTAGGAATGGAAAGAGGTCTGGGGAGGCTCTTTGAGATATGGAAAATGCTATGTCCAGAAGCCCAGAGGAGACTATTTTGAAGGTCCTATGGAGGAATTCAACTAGGTGTCCCAGAACCAAATTGTATGGAGATATGGAGGCCAGCCATAATGAGGACGGGGTTACAGGCTCCATCACTATCCCACTGGAAGTTGGAGCATTCAGTTCCCGAGGGTCCTCCCATCAGTCTTGCACCCATGAATTGTCAATATAAATAAAAGGTAGTGTGCTGTCTATGAAAATGCACCTTGCAGACAGGCCCTCTTCCAACCTAATTTCCTCCCTCCACCCAACCCTCCAATATAGAAATCCCAGAGCTCTGCTGGGTTTCACTGATAACTGATTGTGCCTCTCACCCCAGCCAGATGTCCTGTTGATAAGAAGGGGATCTAGGACAAGAGAACAGGCAATCTCTCTGACTTTGCAAACTCAATTAAGTGGTCGTATTCCCATCCCGAGGACAAGGGGGTGCCCCTGAAAGTTTTCTAAGCAGAGGAGTAACCCAAACTTCTTCCTGTTTCTTGTTTTCATCTGCAAGGAAACCAGCAAAATTATGGAGCTTACCTCTAATGAATAAGCCTATTGACAGGAAATGTAAGAAAAAGGGACAGTAGTTCATGAAGGATTTCTTCTTTAGGAATTCTTCGGCCAGAAGAATATCCAACTTTTGAGACCAGTAACAGCATACGGATTGACTCGTCTATTTTCTCCCACCTTCTCCAGAGCTTCTCTGAGTTATCATCCGGACCTGATTGCTCACAGTCCTTGACTGCATTTGCCACGCTTGCCTCTACCAGCAGCACCCAGCTGCCCATTGGTTTCAGCACCCCAGCCACCACCGAGGGCTGTTTGGATTCTTCAGCTGCTCGCCACAAGATGACTTTAAATCCCCGCAAACAAAAGAAGAACCTTCAAGTGATTGTAAGTCCTTCAAGAGACAGGGCACTAAAGTCCTGTATAAGAAAAGATGAGTTCCAACCTTTGCAAACTACTACTAGGGAAATAGTATGGTGTAGGAGACTCATGCCCTAAGTAAGCTTGGCAAGGTCAAGGGTGCTGTCCTGAGCTTGACACCCTCAGAGGGGTGAGCAAGCTTGCACCTATTGGGTGTGGTTTCCTATCCATGTGGAACTCATATTAGAAGGGACTAAAATGAAGCAGAAACAGTGAATGATTTAAACCCCCATAAACTGCTTATTGGGTTAACATCTGGGAGTTCACTCAGCCCTATTTGTAGAGAATATTCAACCCTAGTCCAGATTAGGATTCTTTCAGTTATTAATCAGATGAGACCCATGAGTTACAAATTGCAGCACTATTCCACTTACTTGGAGGTCAAACTTTCAGCAACCCTAAACATACAGAACTTAGTTGTTAACCCATCCAAAGATCTCCAAATAGATGCCACATGACTTTCTAGGAAGCAGATCTACTGTGTTAAAAACATGGCCACAGATCAGACTCAGACCTGACAGCAAAGAGAAGTGACAGCTGATAGCAGAGAGAACGACGGAAATAATCTGGGGCCCTTTAATATAGGGCTTTGCCCACCTCAATATGTCCTTCAGGGTCACACTATATCATAGTCCAATGTAATAGATCATTTCGTTATTTGTCCAAGTCATCTAGAAAAAGTAGATTATTTTCCGTGATCCCCGTTTAAAAAGATAGAGAAATAATGCTTTTGGAAAAGGCTTTTAGTAAAAGTTGAGGATTAGGGCCAGGTGTAATGGCTCATGCCTGTAATCCCAGCACTTTGGGAGGCCAAGGTGGGTGGATCACCTGAGGTCGGGAGTGCGAGACCAGCCTGACCAACATGGGGAAACCCCATCTCTACTAAAAATACAAAATTAGCCAGGTGTGGTGGCGCATGCCTGTAATCCCAGCTACTCAGGAGGCTGAGGCAGGAGAATCACTTCAACCTGGGAGGCGGAGGTTGTGGTGAGCCAAGATCACGCCATTGCACTATAGCCTGAACAACAAGAGCGAAGTTCCGTTTTTGTTTTGTTTTGTTTTGTTTGTTTGTTTGTTTTTAAAGTTAAGGATTAAAAAGTGTTAGTGTTTAGTGTTTAAAAGGATGTGTCAGTTGGCTATAAAACTCACTTTGATAAAAAACTGAATTCGCCAGTGATTCTGGGCTGAAGGGAAGAGACTGTAAATCAGAGGTGAAGAGACTAAAAGATTGTATAGTACAAACATTTTACAGGGAAGGGCGTTAAAGCACAAATAATTTCAGATACTTACCCAAAGTCAAACACCCAGGTGGTGGCAGAGCTAGGGCCAGAATTCATTCTTCTGACTTCCAGCTCAGCACTTTTTTCATCCCACCATCTTGCCTCTAGCTTAGGCATCTCAATTTCACTTTAGGTTGTAGACAAAATACGAGTTGAAAGAACAGGTGGAGGAGCAGAGGGGCAGAGGGAAGCCCTCTGGTGGCCTTGAGAGTACCTTCTTAGTTTGGTGTCAAAGAAGGGGTGACCAATTATGAGGTGCCAAACCCTATACATGCATTATGCCCTGAATACCTCACAACAAACCTGGGAGATGGGGAAGGTTGGCTGAGGGAAGCAGTATGACCCTTCTAACTTTCTTCTTTCTGTATAGCCTAGTTGAGAAAAAGCCTGGGCATTACCCTCTGAGAAGGCCAGAACATCCGCTTCTTCCCTGTGACTCTCTCCCTGTCATGTGGATGAATATAAAAAAGATCCAGGATCATTTATGACACAGGGACTACTACCACTTTCTCCCTGCTCTGTAATTTCTTAGATCTGCAAGTCCCACAGGAGGTTTCTCCTGGTCTCTTATTTATCGATGTAGACACAGTGATTCAGAGAATAACTTGCCCAAGGTCACACAGCAAGTAAATGAGGAAGAGATTTTGAATCCAGCCCAATCTGACTACATTTTCTCAAAAATAAATTATTATGAGCTGTGTCTGTTTGCACAGGTACTTTGAGTGGGAGTGTAAAGAGTTGTATGTTTGTCTTTACATGTATGACATAAAGGCTTACACTAAGCAAATTCCGGACACTGTTCAGTGCAGTGCTACACTGACATTTCCAGAGCTGTATTGTAATCATCAGAAAACCTTGTTTATGCTAAACCAGCTTCAGCCCATCCAGTGTAAGGGCTGAACCTTTCAGCTTTTTCTCCTTTCCCTCCCAACAAAACCCCAATTCTTTTTCTTCTTTTGATCTGGAAAGAGATAATTCATGCTTTCATTAAATTCCCTGAAAAGAAGCCAAAAAGGATTTGAATTTAGCTCACAGGTCTGGTGAAGCAAATCTGATAATCCCAATATGGCCGAGGGCATGACTGTTGTCAGACCCAACGACCCCATTTTCAGATTCGTGACCTTCCAGTGTGGTTCAGTCATTTCCAGGGTATTTTAGAGAGATCCCTGCAGTGTGTCACTCAGACATTAGAAACTCCAAACCTGGATGAACCACTTACAATAGGTAAAATGATCCCCAAGGATCTCTTGGTGGAAACAATTCCATTAAGAAATCCCTGGAAATATCTCCATTGAAATAACGTCCATCTTTAATGGTATTGTTACACGCCCAGCATCAAGAACTATTTTTCCTGATACTTTTTCTTTGGCAACCATGCAGAAGTGGTTGGAAAGCACTTCAGTAGGATTCAAGCTCTTTCTTTTCCTGTTTCAGGTGGAACCAAAGCAGGAGGAGCCAAACCTTCCATTGGTTTCTGAAGAAGAAAAGAGTATAACCAAACCAAAAAAAACCAACCAAAAGAAGCTGGGAACAGACAGTGCAGGTTAGCATATCTTCACCCTCACTCAGAAACATGTATGACAGACTTCATTACACAGTGCTACGTTGATAGGAGCTGTACCCAAGAATTACCTAAGACTGCTGCCCTTGGTCTTCAGAGAGCTTTCAATTTTATATGCAGAAAATGTGGTCCAGGCTTCTCCATCTAAACTGCCGAAGTAATACAATTGCCACTTGTGTGGGGTTCAGGTAAAGGATCATACCTGGATTCTTATTTTATCTAAATGAATTTCCAACAAGAGAGGTGTTTTGTTTGTGAATTTGTTTCATCCTCTCTGAGGCTAACGTACATGCTGAGTTCCTCAGTGAGCCCAGATACGGGAGGACAGTCACTGATTTCCCTTCAGCATTCTTCCTCAGCAAAAGAACCAGAAAGGAATAACATAATTGGCCAAAAAATCATTTTTTAAAAGTTGCCTTTCTCTTCCTGTAGAGAGAAAATGACTTTCTTAATAATGATACTATTGCCCACATCCATGGACAAAGAGGGGTTAGGCAGCTGCAGACAGATGTCCTTGGCAGCCAACACCTATTAAATCGCCAAACAACAAATATCACCAGAGTGAAAATCTCTCTGTATGTTTATGTGTGTGCATATGTTGATGCTGGTTCCAGCTGATGGCAAGCTGATTTCAAGCAATATTGGATAAAAAATCCAGTTCCTCAAATTAAGTTGAACAGTTATGTTACGTTTTTGCTACAAAAGATTTCACATCTGGGTTCAAAGACAGGATATTCCTAAACACATTTTCCCATGAAAACTAAGAAAACCACAAAACTCTCCAGAAAAAAAAAAGAAAGAAAGAAAAAGGAAGATTAGATGAGTACTTAAAAAAAAAATCTTTTTGAGCTTTATTTTTATTTATTTATTTACTTATTTTTTTGAGATGGAGCCTCACTCTGTCACCCAAGCTGGAGTGCAGTGGCGCGATCTCAGCTCACTGCAACCTCCGCCTCCCTGGTTCAAGCAATTCTCCTGACTCAGTCTCCCTAGTAGCTGGGACTACAGGCACCCGTCACCACACCTGGTTAATTTTTTTGTATTTTTAGTAGAGACGGGGTTTCACCGTGTTAGCCAGGATGATCTCGATCTCCTGACCTCGTGATCCACCCGCCTCGGCCTCCCAAAGTGCTGGGATTACAGGCGTGAGCCACTGCACCCAGCCTTTGAGCTTTATTTTTTAATAGTTGTCTCTTTTACACACAGAGGATAGAACTGAGTCAGTATCCATGGAGGCAGATACTTTGGTTGATTTTCCATATCATGGAAGTTGTTTGGAGCACAGTCAGCTATTCTCAGCGCTGTATGCTGGATATGAAACTACCAGATGGAGCTAGGGATGCAGCAGATAGTGAGGGAAGAAAGGCAGCGAGGGGCCCTTCCATCTGGGGATCAAAGAGAGTTCCTTAGAACTAGAAGAAAGGAGAGGAGTAATCTGTACGACTACTACCTTGTGCTTGACCTGAAGCCTGTGGACCAATGCAATTGTTAAGGCATTCCAAGAATTTCTTTGCATGTATATTACATATGATTGGTTTAAAAATGTTTTTATTTCAATAGCTTTGGGGGTACAAGTGGTTTTTGGTTACATGGATAAATTGTATAGTGGTGAAGTCTAGGATTTTAGTGCACCTGTCACTCGAGTAATGTACATTGTATACATTATGTAGTTTTTCATCCCTCATCCCCTCCTACCCTTCCCACTTTCTGAGTCTCCAGTGTCCATTATACCATTCTGTATGCCTTTGCATACCCATAGCTTAGCTCCCATTTATAAGGGAGAACATGTGGTATTTGGTTTTCAATTCCTGGGTTACTTCACTTAGAATATTGGCCTCCAGTTTCATCCAAGTTGCTACAGAAGACATTATTTCATTCTTTGTTATGCCTGAGTAGTATCACATTTTCTTTAGTTGATTTTCCATATCATGGAAGTGGTTTGGAGTGCAGTCAGCTATTCTCAGCGCCATATGCTGGGTATGAAACCACTAGATGGAGCTAGGGATGCAGCAGATAGTGAGGGAAGAAAGGCAGCGAGGGGCCCTTCCATCTGGGGATCAAAGTGAGTTCCTTAGAAAAGTACTGGAAGAAAGGAGAGGAGTAATCTATACAACTACTACCTTGTGCTTGACATTTTCTTTATCTACTCATAGGATGATGGGCACTTAGGTTGATTCCATATCCTTGCAATTGTGAATTGTGCTTCAATAAACATATGTGTGCAGGTGTCTTTTTGATATAATGACTTCTTTTCCTTTGGGTAGATACTCAGTAGTGGGATTGCTGGATTGAATCATAGATCTATTTTTAGTTCTTTGGGAAATTTCCATACTGTTTTCCACAGAGTTTGCACTAATTGACATTCCCACCAGCAGTGTGTAAGTATTCTCTTTTTATCACATTCATCCCACCATCTATTGTTTTTTGACTTTTTCATAATGGCCATTCTGGCTGAGGTAAGATGATATCGCATTGTGTTTCAATTTGCATTTCCCTAGTGATTGGTGATATTGAGCATTTTTCATATGTTTGTTGTCCATTTGTATATCTTCTTTTGAGAACTGTTTATTCATGTCCTTTGCCCACTTTTTAATGGATTATTATAGTTTATTATCACCTGGCTTCACTCTTTCTGTTAAGTTCCTGTGTTGCTTCTTGGAAAAAGCTCACAGCAAGAATATCTACATACTATTTTGTCTTTCCAAGTGGGAGAGACACGCTAACAATGTCTCCAATCTGCATCTTGGAAATAAAAACAACTAGGATTGTTTTAATATGAGGGTAGAAAAAAAGAAGAAAAAGGGGCCATAATCTTGCCTCCCAGATAACTCCTATTGACCCCTTCTTAAAAGCAAAGCAATATGGCCGGGCACAGTGGCTCATGCCTGTAATCCCAGCACATTAGGAGGCTGAGGCAGGCGGGTCACAAGGTCAGGAGTTTGAGACCAGCCTGACCAACATGGTGAAACACCGTCTCTACTAAAAATACAAAAGTTATCCGGACGTGGTGTCATGTGTCTGTAATCCCAGCTACTCAGGAGGCTGAGGCAGGAGAATTGCTTGAACCTGAGAGTCAGAGGTTGCAGTGAGCCGAGATTGTGCCACTGCAGCCTGGTATGAGGTATGAATTCAAAGTGTGAAATTTGTCTTTTGGGTAGAGTGTAAAATAGAGCCATAATTAATTTTCAATTTCACTCCAGCCTGGGCGACAGAACAAGATTCCGTCTAAAAAAAAAAAAAACAAAAAAAAAAAAAAAAAACAAAAAAAAAACCACAAAAAAACCAAAGCAATACATGCACATGATATGAAATTTCAAGTAGTTCAGATAAATATTATGTAGAAAATAGAAATGCTAATTAGAAAGTAAAAAATTCCATTCCTCCTTCCCTAGTCAGTTTCTCCAAAGGTAGTCATTGTTACAGGTTCAAAATTTGCCTTCTGATGTGTCTCACACTGAATGGTGGACCAGACTATTGGTAAAAAGGTGATAAGCCAACCCTGGAATCAGTTTCTAGAGCTAGGATTTCTCTTTGGCTTAAAAATGTCCAATTGCAGAAACCTAATAGTGACCAAGTTGCCTCTGTCTTCCGAATAGCTGCTTCCTCATACTAGGAAATTCAGTAGCAAATAGGTACCATTGGGCCAGGGCACAGTATTCTTATTTTAGGAAGTCAAAGTCACATGTATTTCTCCTTTCCTTATTTCTGTTTGGTGCAGATTCCTCAAGCCAGGAACAGAACAACAAAACTGAGATGTATGATAAGAAGACAACAGACCAGGCTCCAAACACTGATGCTTCTGGGAGTCAGAGCTATCCAATGTCAGCAGCATATGGAAGAAGACAGAGAAGAAAAGGAGCAAGTATTTCAGGATTGAGTGAGTGTGAATTCAAAGGAAGAAGCCTTAAACAATCCAGTGAAGGGTATGGCCTGGGCGATAGAGCTGGGTCTTCGCCTACCAATAAGACTGCCAGGAATGTCCCTTTCTTGCACTTGTCCTTGGAGAAGGACAACATGGAGCAGCCTACAACTCCACAACCAGAAACCACTACCCCTCAGGGGTTGCTTTCAGATAAAGATGACATGGGAAGGAGAAATGATGGCATAGATTTCGGATCCAGAAAAGCATCAGCAGCACAGCCCATACCTGAAAACATGGACAATTCCATGGTTAGTGATCCACAACCATACCATGAAGATGTGGCTTCTGGAGCTGAGAAGACAGAAGCCAGAGCTTCTCTTTCACTGATGGTAGAAAGTCTTTCTACAACCCAAGAGGAAGCCATTCTCTCAGTAGCAGCAGAGGCTCAGGTGTCTATGAATCCTTCTCATATCCAGTTAGAAGATAAAGAAGCTTTCAGCTTTGATTCACGAAAGGCCCAATCCAAAATGGAGTCAGCCCAGGATGTTCAAACTATCTGCAAAGAAAAGCCTTCTGGAAATGTTCACCAGGCCTTTACAGCAAGTGTTTGGGGTATGACAAGTACTACAGCCAAAGGAGATGTTTATGCCAAGACTCTGCCTCCCAGAAACCTTTTTCAGTCCTCAAGGAAGCCTGATGCTGAAGAAGTCTCCTCAGATTCAGAGAATATTCTTGAGGAGGGGGATGGTTCTGAAGAACTGGCTCATGGTCACTCTTCCCAGTCCTTGGGGAAGTTTGAAGATGAACAAGAAGTCTTCTCAGAATCAAAAAGTTTTGTTGAGGACTTGAGCAGCTCTGAGGAGGAGCTGGACCCCAGATGCCCCTCCCAGGCTTTAGAAGAGCCTGAAGATGAAGAAGTCTTCACAGAATCAAGCAGTTATGTTGAAAAGTACAACAGTTCTGAGGATTGCAGCAGCTCAGAGGAAGACCTGCCTCTCAGACACCCTGCTCAGGCCTTGGGAAAGCCCAAAAACCAACAAGAAGTCTCCTCTGCTTCAAATAATACTCCTGAAGAGCAGAATGCTTCTACACAGCAGCTGCCTTCCAGATGCCCTTCTCAGCCCATTATGAGTCCTACTGTTCAGCAACAAGTCCCCACCAGTTCAGTGGGCACTTCTGTAAAACAGAGTGGTTCCGTGGAGCCAATCCCTCCAAGACACCCTTTCCAGCCATGGGTGAACCCTAAAGTGGAGCAAGAAGTTTCCTCATCTCCAAAGAGCATGGCTGTTGAAGAGAGCATTTCTGTGAAGCTTCTGCCTCCTAAACTTCTTTGCCAGCCCTTGATGAATCCTAAAGTTCAACAAAACATATTCTCAGGTTCAGAGGATGTTGCTGTTGAGAGAGTCATTTCTGTGGAGCCACTGCTCCCCAGATATTCTCCTCAGTCCTTGACAGATCCTCAAATCCGGCAAATCTCAGAAAGCACAGCTGTTGAGGAAGGCACTTATGTGGAGTCGCTGCCTCCCAGATGCCTTTCCCAGCCCTCGGAGAGGCCTAAGTTCCTAGACTCAATGAGTACTTCTGCAGAATGCAGCAGTCCTGTGGCGCCAACACCTTCCAAATACACTTCCCAGCCATGGGTGACCCCTAAATTTGAGGAACTGTATCAACTCCCTGCACATCCAGAAAGCACTACTGTTGAAGAGGACATTTCTAAGGAGCACCTGCTTCCCGGATATCTTTCCCAGTTTACTGTGGGAAATAAAGTCCAGCAACTGTCCTCAGATTTCGAGAGGGCTGCTGTTGAGGCAGGCATTTCTGGGAGCCCAGTGCCTCCCCAATACGCTACCCAGTTCTTAAAGAGGTCTAAAGTTCAGGAAATGACCTCACGTCTAGAGAAAATGGCTGTTGAAGGCATTTCTAAGAAATCACGGATTCCCAGGCGTTCAACCCAGTCATTCGTGAAATTTATGGCACAGCAAATCTTTTCAGAGAGCTCTGCTCTTAAGAGGGGCAGTGAAGTGGCACCTCTGCCTCCCCATCTTCCTTCCAAATTTTTGTCGAAGCCTAAAATCAAGCACCAAGTTTTCTCAGATTCAGGGAGTGCTAATCCTAAGGGAGGCATTTCTTCAAAGATGCTACCTATGAAGCACCCTTTACAGTCCTTGGGGAGGCCTGAAGACCCACAGAAAGTTTTCTCATGTTCAGAGAAAGCTCCTGGGAAGTGCAGCAGTTTTAAAGAGCAGCTGTCTCCCAGACAGCTTTCCCAGGCCTTGAGGAAACCTGAGTATGAGCAAAAAGTCTCCTCTGCTTCTGCCAGCTCTCCTAAAGAGTGGAGGAATTCTAAAAAGCAGCTGCCTCCCAAACATTCTTCCCAAGCCTCAGATAGGTCTAAATTCCAGCCACAGATGTCATCAAAGGGCCCAGCAAATGTACCTGTAAAGCAGAGCAGCGGTGAGAAGCACCTGCCTCCAAGTAGCCCTTTCCAGCAACAGGTTCATTCAAGTTCTGTGAATGCTGCTGCTAGGCGGTCTATTTTTGAGAGCAATTCTGACAACTGGTTCCTACGAAGAGATCAAGCTTTTGCAAACAAAACCAATAAATTCAGCCAAGGTTCCAAACACCCCATAAAGAGCATCCCGGCCCCTGCTACCAGACCTGGGAAGCTCACCACTGCCCCTGCTGGGCAAACATCCACTTCTGGGGACATTTGCTCTAAGAAAGAAGATCTTGAGAGTGGTGATGGTAATAATAACGAGCATGCAAACCTATCCAACCGGGATGATATTGAAAAGCTTTTTGGGGTTCGACTGAAAAGAGCCCCTTCCTCACAGAAGTATAAGAGTGAGAAACAAGATAACTTCAACCAGCTTGCTTCAGTGCCCTCGGGCCCAATTTCATCCTCTGTAGGCAGGGGGCATAAAATCACAACAAGCACTTCCCAGGGGCTCCTGGAGGCTGCAGGGAACCTCACCAAAATATCTAATGTTGCAGAGAAGCAACAGAGCAGGCCCAAATCTGAAAGCATGGCCAAGAAGCAACCTGCTTGCAAGATCCCAGGTAAGGCTTTTATCTCTCCAGATGGCAAGTAGATATCACATGGAAAGAAGAACTGGAAAGCAAAGCCTTGAATGGGCATTAAAGTCTATTCTAGCCTTGCTTACTGAATTGTGGCTTTGACAGGGCTGGCTTATGGGTTTGGGAGCAAAATAGTGCCCATTCTAGATTTAATAGATTTGGAGGTAGTTAATTTTGAGTCTTCCCTTTCCCAATGGGGTCCCCCTCTGGACATCCATCTACATTCCACAGTAGACACATGACCATCTCCCCATTCCCTCTTCCTCACCCTCTGCACACGTTACGTTTGGATGGAATTTTATGCTTTTCTCAAAATACGTTTACATGCATTAAGCCCCTCTCTAACACCATGTGGATTTTTAAAGCCAACTCATTAGTAGAACATTATATTCAGTCTCTCAGCCTGAAATCTTAATTTGCCATAAATGACTCTTCGCTCTAGAGCTAGGCGATCTTTTGGGCACTAATGTCTCCCAAAACCTTTGGACTTTCACACTCCATCCTTGGGAAAGTCTTTTATATTCCTGTAACCACACTTATGTAACCACACACTTGTAGGAGGGACTATGAAGTAACAAATACTCTAAGATTTTTCTAGGAGTTAGAGGAATGGCATCAATGGCCTGAGCCTCTGGCATCCTTGGAATTTTCCCAGCCCACCCCTGGCAAGCGTTGTCCTACCCTGATTTGCAGATGAGACGAGGGATGGACGAGGGAAGGGTCCAGTAAAGGGACAGGATGCCCACTTTTAAGTACAGCTTCTTTACTACCCAAGGAATTCCTGCCTTGCCAAGTTGTAGGGAGGGCCCAAAAAAAGGGGGGCCTTCTCTGGTTGATATCTGTTTATTTTCCTTTGGCAATTAACAAGGGTCCCATTTGGGATATTATTGTGGGTAAGCCCCAGCCAGGCTCAAGACCCTGCCTGCCTTGCTTCAGTTCTAACTCCTTTCATTTCTTTCTCAGGAAAGCCTGATGGTCAACAGTCAGATTATGCTGTCTCAGAGCCAGTTTGGATAAATATGGCAAAGCAGAAGCAGAGGAGTTTCAAGGCCCACATTCCTATGAAAGAGCTGAAAACTAAGAGCAGAGCTGGAGCCAATGCTGAGCCTAAGGAGCCTAAATATGGGGTAGGACCTGGGGTAGCCAAGAAAACACTCCAAAAAGGTTGCTGGAATCACTGATTAGGCTTCTATTGGGAACTTTGTGGACATGCAGCTCCCCCTCTCTTTGGGAGCATTAATCAAGGCAGGAGGAGTCTTTAGGGAAAGACTTGCTTTGCATTTATACAAATATGCCCTGCTTTTATGCTCTTAAAGGGTTTGTGCAGGCCAGGTGTGGTGGCTCATGCTTATAATCCCAGCACTCCGGGAGGCCAAGGCAGGTGGATTCCTTGAGCTCAGGAGTTCAAGACCAGCTTGAGCAACATCCTGAAACTCCATCTTTACTAAAAATACAAAAACATAGCTGGGTGTGGTGGCATGCACTGACATTTCCAGCTACTGAGGTGGGAGGCTGAGGTGGGAGGATCGCTTGAGCCCAGGCATGGAGGCTGTAGTGAGTCAAGATCACGCCACTACACTCTAGCCTGGGTGACAGAGCGAGATCCTTTCTCAAAAGTGCATGTGCGTGTGGGGGGGTGTTGTGTAAAGTCATGAATATAGAATCTACAAAACAAATCCTGCCCTCAATATTCTAAAGCAAGGTTCCACAAAATTGGTTGAGAAATAAGGAGTAAGTCATTTTATTTAATTTTTTATTTTTTATTTCCATAAAAAAGGAAATTTTTTGTTTCCATAAAAAAGGAAATTCTTTATTTCCATAAAAAAAAGGTTTGGGGGGAACAGGTGGTATTTGTTTACATGAGTAAGTTATTTGATGGTGATTTGTGAGATTTTGGTGCACTGTAACCCAATTCATAGTATTTTATCCCTCACCGCCTTCTCACCCTTTCCTTCAGAGTCCCCAAAGTCCATTGTAACATTCTTATGCCTTTGCATCCTCATAGCTTAAAAAAATATCTAGAGGTAATAACTGGGGTAAGAGTTGAGTGATTACCTTTACAGATATTTTATGCCTATCTATCTATCTATACACATGTTTATAAATGGAATCAAACTATAAATACTGTTTTTTGTTTTTTTTTTTCATTTAACATTTTATTTCTGGGCACTTTTCCATATTAGTACAAAACAAGTTCCCTTTCTGTGTTTGATGTTTGGATTTCTACATATTGATTTGGTTTGGTGTGGCACCTACCTGTAAGTTATAAAATGTGATGTGGTAAACTAGGCTAACTACCACATGTGGATAAGAGCTGATGGGATGATGCCTTTCTCCTCTTATCAAACCTGCAGAAAACTGACTCAAGGAAACATACCAGATTCGCATATCAAGAGATATGTCTAAGCTCCTATACTTTTAAGTGCTTATTAAATTTGTTGAAGGACCATGCAAGGACCTGTGTAACTCTTTGCTTTAAAGGTCTTTTCTTTTTCATCGTTAGTATTTACACGAGGACAGGATCACACAGGGGTAAAGTCCACCTTTATTAAAGCTTTTTTTTTTTTTTTTGAGACAGGTTCTCACTCTGTCATCCTAGCTGGAGTGCAGTGGCACAATCACAACTTACTGCAGTGTCAACCTCCCAGGCTCAATTATCCTTCCCCTTCATCCCCGCCATAGTAGCTGCGACTATAGGCACTATAGGTATGCGCCACCATGCCCAGCTAATTTTTAATTTTTTTGTAAATATGGGTCTCACTATGTTGCCCAGGCTGGTCTTGAACTCCTGGGCTCAAGTGGTCCTCCTGCCTGAGCCTCACAAAGTGTTGGGATTATAGTCCACTGCTCTCAGCCTGATTAAAGCTTTTGTCAGGAGAGATACATTAGTGTATATAAACTCACTAATTTAGACCAATTATGAAGAGGTTAATTTGAAAAGAATAAACTGCAGAATTTTGGAAAGACCTACAGGTATATTACTTTCTAATGTGAGAAATGTTTCAAGTCATATGTCAGCTAGTTTTGAAAAGTAGAAATCTTATGGAACTCACTTGAATGAATTGATCAGATTTGTTTGCAACTACCATGTTCTGTTAGCTTGCTGTTAAGTGTTGGTAAAGTGCTAAGGAAAAGGTTGTTCTCAAGTTAAATAATTCTCTTCTTAACCTGCTTTCACTATTTGTAAAATTAAACAGCTCTTTCCTTCTGGTCTGAAAGGTGATAAACTTGAGCCAGCTTAGGTTTTGTGAACCTAAATTTCAAGCCAAAAGTCTCAATGCTATTTCTCTCCTTATCTATCTATATATCTCTAATCTTTCCTTTTGGATACTGTTAAACTCATAGTACCCAGGACAGGGCTTGCACTCTATGGTCCTCTGAATAAGCAATCTGCCATTTTAATGTCAGAACTTACAAGCTTTCTGTTTTCATTTTTGTATTAAAGGGAGCTGGCCCTGAAAATGAAAACCAACCTAAAAAGATTTTCACTTCCAGTGTCCATAAACAGGAGAAGAGAGCACAGATGAAGCCACCTAAGCCTACAAAATCAGGTAAAAGCATACATCCCGACCTCTCGGAAAACAGCCCAGGCAAAATGTTGTGAAACTTTTGCAATTTCAAGCTCAGGTAATACTTGTCTCTTACCTCCCAAGTCAGCTTAATGCTTTCTTGCGTGGCTCTTTAATTAGATACAGCTTATTTTAGAAAAATCTAATTATTTCGACTAATACAAGTCCAGTGTATAACTTTCAGAGGGTCTTCCAGTCTTTTGCCTCATCAGAGAAGCTGTCTAGGCACAAAACTGTGGTCACTCACTGAAACATTCTTCTGGTTGGGTATGCAAGAGGAAAGTACCGAGTCACTTTCCAGTTCATAGCAAAGCGGTGTTTTCTCACTTTCTACATCCCCAACGAAACTGTTGAAAATAATTCACTCTAAAGGCCCAATGATATTCAATTGTTTTTAATTATTTAGAAGGCTTGTTTAAGCCTCTCTGTATTCTGAGCAGGGATGTGTAAGTGGTGAGGAAATGTTGACAGCTGAGAGGAATACTCTGCTGGGATATAATAAAATGTGATCTCACCAGAAAGAGTTGTGTGCTAGAGAGAATTTTTTCAGCAGGAGCAGGGGAGTGGAGGATGGATTTATATTGAACCATCTTTGTCCTCTCCCTTAATCCCGTTCATGAAGAAATTAGACCAGGAATTCAGGAACCCATTTTCTGGCCATGAAATAGCAGCAGCTGACTTGCTCACAGCTTTTAATGGCCTCATGGGCACTATACTCCTATCAAGTGAATCACAACTGTCACTGTGCATCAGAATCACCTGGTGAGTTTTTAAAAAAATTACAGATGGTCCTGGCTCCATCCTTAGAGATTCTAATTCATTTGCTTCAGGAAACGGCACGGGTATTGGCGTTTTTTAAAAGAGCCCTAGGTGATTCTAATGTGTAGCCAGGATTGAGAACCACTGGTTGAGTCTAAGTCACTAAGTCAATTGACGATAAGCAGGATGAGGGAGGGAGTGGAATTAGGAGTAGGGAGGTAGTCTGCTTGGCTGGGGTAGTTGGGTTGGTACAATATTATTTACCATCAACTTTTACTGGGTGCATCTATTGAGTCATCAATCAATTCATTTCACATGAAATCATCGATTGGCAAACACAAATAACATTACCTTATTTGAAATTTTAGAAACTAAGCAGATACAGTATGTTTCCCTCTGGTCTCAGTTCAAAGATGTAAGACAATCCAGTAATAACCACCCAAAGATTGGCAGTTATAGGCATAGGTATTACCTCCCAGGCCTTCCCATGCCCAGGGCCCTGTGGCTATAGCCATGTTGATTTTACACCTTTGACATATCACACATGGCATCACACAGGCCCTAACTTTTAGAAGTCTGGCACCAAACGGAGAAGAGTTTAGAAAGCAGTAGAGCAGGGGGATCAGAGGAAGCCTGAAAGGAGGAAACATTTTGGCATTCCATAAACAACATACCCCAATATCTCTGGGATTCCTTATTGCTTGTGTGTTATTTGCTGTGGTTCCAGTTGGATTTGAAGCTCAGAAGATACTGCAAGTGCCTGCCATGGAAAAAGAAACCAAACGATCTTCAATTCTCCCAGCCAAGTTCCAGAAGCCAGTAGAGCCAGTTGAGCCTGTCTGGTTCTCCCTGGCCAGGAAGAAAGCCAAAGCATGGAGCCACATGGCAGAGATGATGCAATAAAGAGCCCTTGTGTGGAGCATCAGCATTTTTAAAAAAAGTTTTATTTTTTTGAGACGGAGTCTCGCTGTGTTACCCAGACTGGAATGCAGTGGCGCGATCTCCGCTCACTGCAAGCTCCGCCTCCTGGGTTCACGCCATTCTCCCGCCTCAGCCTCCCCAGTAGCTGGGACTATAGGCAGCCGCCATCATGCCCGGCTAATTTTGTTTTCGTATTTTTAGTAGAGACGGGGTTTCACCATGTTGGCCAGGATGGTCTCGATCTCCTGACCTTGTAATCCGCCCACCTCAGCCTCCCAAAGTGCTGGGATTACAGGTGTGAGCCACCGCGCCTGGCCAAGCATCAGCATTTTAAATGATAATTGCTAATAGCTGTATTAATTCTATGTAGTGATCTTTTTACTGTGACCACTTTTATTAAGCAAAATAAGTATTAAGCAAAATAAGAATGTATTAAGCAAAATAAGAATTTATTAAGCAAAATAGCCTTAGAAATGTGAATTAAAACATAATTATTTGAATGAAATAAATGCCATGAATGCTTAACCTTCCATATAGCCACTGCCAGCACCCAGAAACCCAGCATTTCCTCTATTAAAACTATGGAAAACATTTGCACTGCTGTAGAATTGCAAAATCTTTAACTTTGGAATGGAAACATTCAGATGATTTGACCCAAAGATTGGCCTTTAGGTTTTATGAGCCTAGGTAGATGCTGCAATTATTTGGTTGTTGCTCCAAACTTTGCAAAGACTCCTAAAAGAGATGGTGGAAGTGAAAATTCTGGGTCTCCAAGAAAATTTCTGCACAGCCTATCACCCCTTGACACATCTTCCCTGTGTCCCTGGGGGCCCCTGATGCTTTCTCCTTGAGTGATAGTAACACACAGAGCACTTACACAAAACTCCCTCTTTGGACATGCCTCACGTCAACCTGTCACAGGCCTGGCTGCAGCGAGCACCTCCCTATGACGCAGAATGCTTCTTGGGAATTATCTTACTCCTCTGGATAGTGAGTCCATCAGTGTTTTGCTTCTTGTCCCAATACTACCGTGACCCTCTCTGATCGCACAGAAATCACTGTCTATCACATATATCCTGTTAAGCACTGAAGACCCTATTGAAATTAGAGTTCTACAGATGCCAAAAGCTGTACTTTCCATCAGGCATATGGCAAGCTTACTGCCTCAATGCACATCTGGGGCCACTGGAACTCCTTCCTCTCTGGTTCCAGCCTTAAGGTGGAGAACTCCATGTAGCTTCTTGTCCTTTTCCCTCAGCTATCTTTGCTTCACAAGGTTTTAGCCCAAAGCAAGAGCGCAATCCCAAAGCCACTGAGAAATGAACTTTCTGCTACCTGGAAGCGTTAAGTGAGTAAATCAGCTTTTCCGCACCCTCATTCCTAGGGGCACACACCTCAAAAGTTACTAGGCTGGAGAGACACTACCTTCCAGTGACCCACTCATCTCCCAGCCACGGAGAAGAGGGAAGACCAAAAAGGGAGAGTGAGAAAGAGAATGAGAGGGATGGTCAGCTATGAGGGGTGGGGGCAAGTAGCCTGCAAATGTTGATGCCTCCCTTCCCATCTTGCCACACAGTCTTTTTCTTTTGTAGCACAGCCTCCGTTAAGAACTCCTCGGCTAAGAATGAAGATGTAGGCACCTTTACCCCCAGAGCCAGTTCCTTAATTGGCTGGCTTTCTGAGATGCAGACCACCCTAGAATCTCATCTAGGTTCACTAGAAGTTGGTTAAATCTTCCTTTCTATGTCTTTCCCTTCATTCCATCCCCCAAACCCACCAAACACTAAGGGAGAGCTCCCTTTGGATGTCTGGGGGGTAAACCTAGCTCGTTTTTCTAGGAGACCCAGAAGTGACTTCTCAGTATAGTTATCACTGTGTCTGCCTCTGTTACACTGTGTTGCTTTGCTTAAACAGAAATGAAGACCTGGACATCTGACTGTGCCTTTATATTCTGAGTGGGGTGCTGCCCCATGCAAAAAAATCCAGAGAGGTAGTGAGGTGTCGGAGCTAAACACTTGGTGCTGGGTTTTGCTGATGCTGGTATAATGTGACACAGTACAATTACATGCTAAATGTTGCATTTTCTCTATATAACATCTGTTTTTCCTGATACCGTGCCTTTGCCATTTTGATAATGCTATTTTGATTGAGTGAATTTTATTTCCTTTGTATTCCCATAGTGAACAATATATTAAGGTAGATGCCCTTTATCTGGGTACTCCTGGTAGATTAGCTGTTACATCTCCCTTCCCTTTTTCACAATGAACCTGTATTCAGTTATTCTCACTCTGAGAACTCTCCAATAACAATTTCTTTTCCACAATTAACAACACAGCTGTTACACCTCCCTTCCTTTTTTTCACAGTGAACCTGTATTCAGTTATTCTCACTCTGAGAACTCTCCAATAACAATTTCTTTTCCACAATTAACAACACAGCTGTTACACCTCTCTTCCTTTTTTCACAGTGAACCTGTATTCAGTTATTCTCACTCTGAGAACTCTCCAATAACAATTTCTTTTCCACAATTAACAACACAGCTGTTACACCTCTCTTCCTTTTTTCACAGTGAACCTGTATTCAGTTATTGTCACTCTGAGAACTCTCCAATAACAATTTCTTTTCCACAGTTAACAACAAAGCTCTGTTTTTAAATGAAGAGATTAAGTTCTTTTTAAATGCCTAAAGGCACATTCTGACAAGTTTTCTACTTCTTTAGCTTTTTTGATTTATGATATATGCAAAGCAAATAAATTTAATAAAGCCTATTCTGTAGTCCATCTCTGTCTGTGACATGGGACGGGAAATCAAATAGGATATTGACAATTCAGAGCTGAAGGTTGTCAGAGAAGTAAAATGTTCTTAAGAGGTGGTGCTGAGAATAAAGGGAGTCCACGCAGGTGTGCCTGACCAAGCTGATGGCTTTCAGGTGCGCACTGATATTTGGTATGGGGGAGAAGGGCCATTGAAGAGGTTTTGGGTTTGAACACCTGGAGAATAAAGAGGGGGTGTGGTTGGGGTGGGGAGCAGAAGAGACAAGGTGATTGGTGGGTGCACTCTAGCCTGCGTCAGGGACAAAGTCCAAGTCCTATAGCAAGATGGGCTACTGGAACAAGCACTTTTCAGAAGCAAGGGGCCCTACTGTGCTCAGGTAACAAAGTGGCATGGAGAGAGAAAGGGAAAGGGGTTATAGACCAGCTATTGACCCTGGTTCATCTGTAACATGTTCAGGGTTTAGAACAAGAGTTCAACTTGGGATCCGCATACCATATGTCTAAGTATTTGAAATATTTAAATAAACAAATATAGCGTGTTTTATTTAATGGTTTATCTCCTTCCATGACAAATGTACATTCATAATGACCTCAAAGGCCAGGTTGGGTTCTAGAATTCTCAGCCTCCTGTAAGTCCTGCCCCAGTGATGGGGCAGAACTACTCCCCTTCCCCCTCCCGCTTTAGAAATATTTCACACCTACACAAAATTGTAGAAAACATTACTATAAACATCCATGCATCTACTATTCAGCTTAAGAAATGTAACATTACAAATATAGTTGATACCTGCTGTGGAGCCTTCTCTACTAGAATGCCCCTCCCTTTCTTTCCCTGAGAGGTAACTACCATCTCAAATGTACTTGTCTTTCTGTATGCTACACTTGTATGCATCTCTTACATGCACACCTTTTAGTCTCTCTATATGTACCCACAATCAATTTATGGTGATCATTTGTATGTTTTCTTCGAAGTCATACACATGGTATCATGTTTGTATCCTTTTGGACCCAACTTTTTTCTTTATGCATTTTTCCCCCTAGGCCTCAGCCCCTGTGAATTCTAGTCTCCTCCCCAGCCCATCCCTTGCTGTCCCTTTCAGTTTACCTGAAACAGCCCCGAGCCAGTGAATTAACCCTGGCTCTACAGGAGGTGCTGAACTTCTTCCTCTGTTGCCTGAAACCAGTGGTTCTCAAACCTTAGTGTTCATCAGAAGTCCCTGGGGGGCTTGTTAAAACACAGATTGCTGACTCCACCCTAGATTTTCAGATTCCGTAGGTCTTGGGTGGAGTCTGAGAATTCCCAGGTAATGCTGATGACGCTGCTTGGGGGCCAAACTTTGAGAACCACTGCTCCAAATCAAAGTCTGGGCCCAAGCTCAGCAATACCATGTGGCTTCTAGGCAACCTGGGCCATCCATGAAGTTTTCTTCAAAACCGTGCTCTAGAGCAGTATTGTCCAATAGACATATAATGTGATCTACATGGGTAATTCTAAATGTTCTAGTAGCCACATTAGAAAATAAAAAGAAACCAACAAAAACTTTAATATTTCATTTTAATTCAAGTATTATCATCTCAACATGTAATCAGTATGAAAATCATTAGTAAGATATGCAATATTATTTTCACACTTACAGACATATTAATAAGACTAGCCATATTACAAGCGCTCAGCGGCCACAACGTTACTAGTGACTAAGGTAGTAGACAGCACAGCTCTAAAGACTTGAGCCCCATCTCTCTCTTTTCAAAAATGGTTTTAAACTTGACATTTTAATTGACTTTTGGCTGCAATAAAAGAATTTAAAACAATCTTACCAAATGGTGGAAAGTAATATCTTTCAGTGAAGGTATGGTGGGCCAAAACAAAGAGGTAAAAGAGAGATTTGAGTCAGAATTATTTATTGAAAAATCTCCCCATGTTTCAATTTATTCATTTAAAACAAACTCTTATTTTTAACTTGAACAAACACTGTCAAATATATTTGTGAAAGATAAAAGTTAGATGTCACTAGATACCAGGTTTGAGGTAAAGAACTTCGGAATGATATGTGTTAAAATTCTCGCAGGCATCTGAATAAAATAAAATAAAAACAATTAACAGCAGAGTCTTCTTTCTTCATCTTCTTACTATTCTTCCCAACTACAGAATGAAATGAGAAAAAAATAAATAATGGTACATTAAGCAGCACCAGTGACTTTCTAAATAGAAGAAAATGGCCAGCTCTGTGTATATCTGCAAGATTTGTGTGCTATATCTTAAACAAGCAGAGAAGAACACCTTTTCCTTTTGTAACTCGCAAGCTTAGATATCAGGGTGCTTGTGGAACTGATGGTTCCAGTCAAATGATCACACCAACCTTGTCTCCCTAGCACCAGAAAAGCTTGTTGTTGTTATTTTTACATGAGAGGCAATTCTGGGATTTAAATAAATCTCTCGAGCTTTAACAGCCTGTGCTAGTTCCACAAATGATACTCCCTTACCCTCCCAGACCCTTGGTTTCCATATCTACCATATGAGAAAGAAGCTGTTATGAAATATACAGCTGTGAAAATGCAAAAAAAGAAAAAAAAGAAAAAATATTAACCATTTAAATATACTCAAAGACAGATATACCTTAAGACTTAATTACCAATTCAGTGATAAACACACATTCTTTTCATCTGACTGTGACATAAAATACAAAAATATATAGCTAAGTAAATATTTAGGTATTAGTCATTAAATGTGGTCCTACTTGAAATTCTTAGCTTTTTGCTATTTGTAAGTAGTCACTTTGTAAAAGGCATTGAGTTGCCTCCTAGTTACTATGGGAGCCTGCATTTCTGTGGCTAAGTAATGAAGGCCCAACTAATGTGTGGCCCAACAAAGTTAGATGCTGCGTCTGGCAACTGTTTTCTACACAAATATTGGTCTTAGGTAGTAGGTCTGATACATTTGACACTTGTTAGTAGTCCTGCAGCTAGAGGACAAAAGACCTCAACATGAACAAATGAGTAGCCATGAAGTATATTTCAGAACACACTGCAGTTCATATTACTAGGTACATGAATATTCTAGTAACATTTTAAGTAAGTTAAATTGAAGTTTTAAACTAAAACATTTTCTTAATTAATTTACTGGGATTTTTTTTTTAAATAAAACTGTCAGTAACAGGTAAATGCCAGGAATAGTTGAGTGATCCTCAAAGCTATACACAGATACCTGGATTTTCTCAGCTTCCCCTCTGCTGCGTCTAGGTCCCTTTGGAGGTCTTCACCTTGTTTTTCTCATCCTTCTCTTTTTCTTGTTCTTTCTCTTCCTCGCCTGCAGAATCTTGGGCCTTTTCATCCCACTTTTCATGCTGATATTTAGTGACTTCTTTAGTGGAGAATAATAGAGACGTTGGGACCAGACATTCGCAGAAAATATAGCCCAATTTATAACTAGCAGCGGCATCCCGTACTCCACCCTCAGGAGAAGCAGGAGGATAGACTTAACTAAGGAAGGAATAGCTGGCCATCTTCCTACTGGTTTTCACAACAGTTCCATGGACCTCACGTTGCTGCTGCTTGATCATTTCCACAGTGACACTATTTCCCTTTTGTCCAGTAAATATCCCACCCAAAGCTGCTGATTATTTCTAGTTCTTTGGAGAAGAAGAGATTAGAATCATTGTGTCTGATCTCATTCCAAGTGTTTTGGTCAGAACTTTGTTGGGAAAATATTTGTTACCTCAAAAGACAAATTCTATGGTGAAGCTCATTGTTTCCTCACCCCCCTGAATGTTTCATTTTTACCAAGGGCCAATGTATCACTTCATCATTTGGGGATCAACTTTCTAAGAATCTTTACACTTTGAAAAGCCATGAACCAAAAAGGATGTCTGCCATTTGCCTGTTCTTTTCTTTCCGGCGTCCCTTCTGTTTCCTGCCGAGCTCCCTCTTGAATTCCTATCTACCCGGCCATTCATCTGTGGGCCCCCCAAATGGCATCGATGATCTCAGATCTCCTATCAAATACAGGTTGGTAGAGGGCAGCAAGTTTTCTCAAAATCATAGAGGTCGTTAGAGAATTGGGCTTCTACTCATCGGGACACATTTGGCCTTAAGTTTCAGGAGGGCCCCGACTGCTGCTTCATCACCCGAGGCCCCGACTACCCCAAAGAGCTAAGCAGAAAAAATTGGGAAACATTCGGCCTTAAGTTTCAGGAGGGCCCTGACCCAAACTTCACCACCCGAGGCCCCGACCCCCGCTTCACCACCCTCTTCACCAGCTATGCGCACACCGCGGCCCTGCCTGGAACCCTCGGATGCACGGGTCCCTGCCTCCCCGCCACTGCAGGTAGCCCGTTCCTCACCCTCGGGAGCAGCAGCCTCCTCTGCGGCCGGTTCCTCTGCGGCCTCCTCCTCTGCAGCCGGTTCCTCTGTGGCCGGTTCCTCTGCGGCCTCCTCTGCAAGCTCCTCCTCTGCGGCCTCCTCTGCGGACTCTTCTGCAGGCTCCCTGGTCATCTCAGCCTGGTCTGCTGGCACCTCAGGCTCTGGGACCGACGCGGCCTCCTGGAGCAGGCCCAGGCCCTCGCCCTCAGGGCCCATGGCCCCCACGCCCAGCCTCTCACGCACCAGCAACAGAGCGGGCTCATTTGAGCCACTGGGCGCCGCAGTGCGGGACCTCCGCATCAGGCGGCCGCCACGCATCCCGATCAGGATGTGGTCGTTGTGATAGATGCGGCGGAGAAGGGAGTGGACCATGTCCAGAAACTCCACGCGAAAGCCTATTATGGGGTAGCGACGGGTGGCCGCGACCAAATCAAAGTTGCCCGCCTCATTCCTCTCTTCTCCTCTCCATCCAGGATGTCCTCCTCCTCCTCCTCCTCCTCCTCTTCCACCATCTCCACTACTATCCTGATCTCTGAGTCTTCCTCGGGGTTCCTGACCACAGGGGCTGCGGCCAAGCCTGCCGCCTGCTCACCCTCCTCCTCCCCGAGGCCTCTCGTGGGCCCTGTGACTCCGGCCACCTCGGCCACGGGCACCATGTCGCCACTGTCGGGGCCAGAGTCACCAGCCTCCCGGTCACCTCCCGCCTCGGCCTGTGCTCTCTCCTGGCTCACTGGGGCCTTCCGGTCCTCTTGGATCGGGTTTTGATCCCCTGTGGCAGACATGACGCCAGTCAGTGCCTCAACTGAAGTGGCGACTAGGCTGAGGCGACGATGGTGAAGTCGGTGGCCTCTGAGGTGGTTGTGGCTGAGGGGAGGTGAGGGTCTGGCTGCTGAGAGAATAAGAGTCTGTCTCTTTACTGAGGGAATAAGAGTCTGTCTCAGAGGACACCCTAAGGTGGGAAGGGCAGGGAGCCAATCCCAGGAGCCTCCTTCCAAGGTTGGCCTGAGAGGACTTAGACAAGGCGGGAAAGATTCCGATTGGCAAGTGACAGGGGGCGGGACCGGGAGGGTCAACCAGGGGTTCTCAGTGAGCTCTAAGCTCATTTGCTGAAAACTTCAGATTGACATGCTCTGCGTCCAATGAAGATCAAGGCCCTTAAGCTCTAGGACAACTCAGAATCCAGAACTCCACCTTTTCTTTGAGGCCTTAGTGCCCAGGGCTAGCCTTTAGGTCCACACAAGTCCTGTCCTTTTAATTTTACGATTATTAGCAACACTATAGTGGTCCAATGTGGAGGCACCCTGGATTGGGGAAACTTCTGTAAAGGGCAGAGAGGAAACATTTTAGGTTCTGCAAGGCCCGGAAGCAATATGGAGACTATTATGTAATTACTATCACTAAGTAGGTTTCCTGCCTTCCATAGGACACATACTCCTCTTTGTACCACGATTTTTTTTTTTTTTTTTTTTTTTGAGACAGAGTCTTGCTTTGTCGCCCAGGCTGGAGTGCAGTGGCGTGATCTCGGCTCACTGCAAGCTCCACCTCCCAGGTTCACGCCATTCTCCTGCCTCAGTCTCCCGAGTAGCTGGGGCTACAGGTGCCCGCCACCATGCCTGGCTAATTTTTTTTTGTATTTTTAGTAGAGACTGGGTTTCACTGTGTTAGCCAGGATGGTCTCAATCTCCTGACCTCATGATCTGCCAGCCTCAGCCTTCCAAAGTGCTGGGATTACAGGCGTGAGCCACCGTGCCTGGCCTGTACCACCATTCTTTTCTGTATTTGCCTGGTCAGTGCCCTCCGATCTTCTTCACCTCCTACCTAAAGTGATCAACCTTATTCATTAAACCATTTATTTATTCATTTACCAAATGTATCGAGTGCCTTCCATGTACCAATGCCACGCCTCCTTACAACTGTCATTTGTACCTCTTGCTTGTTTGACTGATGAAATCCAAAGATGACAGACTGCTCATGGTTTACATCCTAGTACCTCTTCCCCCATCATTCCTATGCCCCTCTTTGGGGTGGAGGTTAGCTCAGACCTCTGGAAGCTGAGCCCTCCCAGCTGCATAGTGTCAACGTTCCAATATATTTGCCGAGACTCCAGTTTATACTAAATCATTTCCTCTTCAGTTGCCTTGTCCACTTATCAATGAGTGTGAAACACAATGTGATGACTGCTGTCAATTTTGAGGTCTCTAGTGCACAGCAGTAGCTGCTTCTTTCTGCAGGGAGATAGGACTGGGCACTGGGCTTGTTATGGAGCAAGTTGTTGTCAAGGAGTGAGGCAGATCCTGGAGGAGATGGTTCTGTTGCAGTGGCAGTAAGCTATCTTAACGGTTGTTTCCAAGTCCCTGGGAGGGGAAACTAGTTAGCACCAGCAAACAGAAGAGAAAGGAAAAAGCTGAGCAGGTGTGCTTTCAAGAAGTGAAGTGAAACTACCTGAAGTGAAACTGAGGGAGAGTGTCCTCCCAGCTCCCGCATTGGGGCTCTCTTCATGGCAAGTAGGTGAGCCAGAAGTCCATGGAACAATCTCCATAGCCTTGGTTATCTGCCTGAGCCTGTTGCCTGCAGATGCAGACCCATCCAGGATGTCACATTCCCTTATCTCTGGTGTGTAGTTGCTACCTTTCCTTTATCTCCAGCTATCCCACCAATGACATCTGATCTTTGCCAAGTCAGGTAGTTGGCACAACCCAGGATTTCAGATTTTCTTAGGGAAAGGTGCTCTCTTTCCCCACCCCACCTCCGTCTATCAGTCAACAGAAGTGGCCAAGTCCTTTCCATTTGCAGACCCACCATCAGGGTCAAAGTGGGCCAGAGGGAGAGACCTAAAGCCACAACAACCCTCAGAGATTTCCACTTAATGTTGGGATGGTAGGGAACACCCTGGAAGACCAGCCCAAAGATCTCCTTTACAGGCTGGCTCAAAACTCATCGCCTCCAGGCAGCCTACTTTTCTATATCTGTCCCCCACCACCCTCGCCAGACATGATCCTGAATGACAGTGGTATGCATGGACATGGTTTAGCTCCTCTAAGAAAGCACAGGCCCTTTAGGGTGAACGTCCAGGCCTGCCTCAAGTTTGTAACACCCACAGTGCCTGCCACAGGGCTCTGCACCAGGTCAGTGTTTGATAAATGTTTGCTAAATGAAGCAAAGGGCTTTGGAATCACTATCACCATGAATGGTGTTCCTCTTCTACCTGCCTAGGGCTTGACTGTCTACAAAGGGCCTTGCTATCCCCTCTTCCTTTCTCTCTTGGGATCGTCTCCCTGGCCTCGTGTGAGATTTCTGCTTTTGCAACCTAGTGTGATTCTGCTGTGAGGCTGGGGACAATGAGGGATCTCACTCCTCAGGGGAGACCCTGCCCCCGCCCCCCACATACAGGGAGTGAGTTGGTCCCTTGCTTGCCTCCTAGTCTACTGTGTCACAGCCAGAGTAGGCTGTGGGTGCCTACTCTGTGCCTACTCTGGCACAAGAGTCCCATCTCCCTGCAGGCGGGGGAGAGCCCACAGTCCTCAAGTCCAGCACTTCTTGCTGCTCGTGGAAGCCACGAGAGGGGTGGGGGACAGTCTGGAATGCTGGTGTCTCTTGGGACTTGACCTTGACCCCCACATCCCAAGGGGTCATTGCACAGACTCTGTGACTTTGAGCTCAGCCCCTGGGAGTGGAGTTGCATGTCAGGGCTCCATTCTTCCAATTCTGGGCAAGTCTGCACCACCACAGGCTCCTTTTCACTTACAGGCTCATCTAGCTTGTGGGGTTTATGCCTTTCCTTGCATCCTCAGTCTTCTTCCCTACACTGAAGTTTGTTCATCATTCTTGGTGACTTTAACATCCACAGGGATGACTCATCCCACGCCCTGGAATTCCACTTCCATGACCTCCTCATCTGATCTTTTCTCCAACCTTACATCAGATGCTTACCCCCATGGTCCTACACTAGCCTTTTCCATTTTCCATTACCAGAAATGGCACCATTTAGAAAATTTTTTCTCTACTGCTACAATGTTTCAATTCCATCAGATTATTTCCCCAATCTGCTGACCTAACCACTTTTTCACTCTACCTTCCTACCATCTTCTTCACTTGCCTACTTACATAAATTCCATCCATTATGTGTTGTTATTATCACAGGCAGAATGCTGGCCTCCCCAAAGATGCCCGTGTCCTAATCCTCAGAACCCTGTGGGTCTGTTAGGTTACCTGGCAGAGGGGAATTAAGGTTGCAGATAGAGTTAATGTTGCTAATCAGTTGACTTTAGGATAGGGAGATTATTCTGGATTAGCCAGATAGGCCCAATGCAATCACAAGCGTCCTTAAAAGTGGGAGAGGTAATTAGAAGAGAGAACCAAAGAGGTGGCAGCATGAGAAAGACTTGGCCTGATGTTGCTGGCTTTAAAGATGGAGGAAGTTCGGAACTATAAGCCAGTGAATGTGGACAGGCTGTAGAAGCTGGAAAGGTCAAAGAAACAGATTCTCCTCTAGAGTCTCCAGAAGGAATACAGCTCTGCCCACACCTTGATTTCAGCTCAATGATACTTCCGACCTCTGCAACTCTAATATTGTAAGTCTGTATTTTAAGCCACAAAGTTTGTGGTGATTTGTTACAGCAGCAATAGGAAAACAATACCTACTCACGTTAAAGTCACTCCATTCCCTTTCTCCTCTTAGCTGTCTATCATATCTACTAGGCAAAACCCCAACTCTAGTTGAATTGCATTCTATTACTTTTTCCTTGCCACTAAATGAAGCAGATAAAAATATTGAAAATTGGTTGACTAAGTTGACTAAAAATTTGTGGTCATGAGTACGTTCAAGACTGCTTGGCAACCACAGTTTCACTACACTTTCTCTCCACCTCAAATTGTTGACAATTTTGCCATTGAACACACAAACATTTTTGTTTCTTAACTTCTACATTTCCAATGATTTGCCATCTACCCTACCTCATCCACTTACTCTCAGGACCATGCCAAGGATCCTATACCTTTCTTAATGAAAATATGCATCACTCCCAAAATCTCAAGATTAAAAAATCTTAAGAATTTCACACTCTGACCACCACTTCTTATTTTGGGTGCCCTTGCTCCGATTATGGTCCCCAATGACCACCATGTGGTCAAAGCCATCAGTCTCTTTCTATTCTCAGTTTTCTTGATCTTTCAGCAGCAGCTACCCACATTACTCTTCCTTAAACAGCCTCTTTCAGGATTTCTGTGGCATTACAGTTTTCTGAGTTTTCTCCCCTTTGGCCACTCTTTACCTCATTCCCCCAAAACTAGAGTTTCTCTGGGCTCTGTTCTGGGACTTTGCCTCTCTATACTCCCTTTCCTCAGTGATCTAATCTTTGTTTCAAGGCCTTGAATATAACCCAATGATTATAATTTCCAAATTGATATCTGTGTCTCAAACCCCTCTTCCAAGTTTATAACAAATTTGACTTGGTATCTCCACTTGAGTATCTCACAGATCTCTCCAACTTGAAGTAGGTAAAATGTCATTCTTGATTTGCTCCTCCTCTCTACTTGTTCTTCCTTTTTAAGAAATGGCACTTCTACCCACCAAGATGCTTTAATCGGAAACCTGGTTGCCCTCTTTAATTCCTTTCTACATCCATTCCATCTGTCAGTTTACCTCCTAAACGTCTCTCACATCTGTCCATTTCTCACCTCTTCAACTATTAATACTCTCATTCTAATGTAAACCATTAGAATTTCTGATTCGACTACTCAATAGCCTCCTAATTGGTTTTTCCCCTTCCGGTGGATTCTCTGC